GGGGGGGGGGAAGGGGAGGAGGAAAAGAAGAGTGGAGGGGGACAATAGCGTGTGTTTGCGTGTGCGAGAAAGATTGTAGATGGGTATTGTCGGTTACGCGTAGAGTTTGTTGAAAAGTATTTAGCATCTGCTTAGTAGATGTTCAATTATTGGTGACATCTCTATACAAGTTTGATCTCAAAAGTAAAGGAAAATTGCCACATCTTTTCAAGGCCAAGGCGATGATGATGGTGTAACTCACCGATGTTGCCTTTGTCTTGAATCTTTTTCATATATGTGTGTTCCTCCCTCCCATAATACTCCATTACAAGGGCTCGCATGTTTCATACAACAAAGTTCTCTTTTGAACTGTGTGGGAAAAAAAGGATCAATACAGAAGTGTATAAGTGGCGATGAAGATACAATATGCAATAGATGTCTCTTTTAAGCGGCAAAACAGTTGAGGATCTTATATAGAGAGGGATGTACCCTTAGGTTTTAAAGAGTCCTACGTGTTATACCGAGAAGCCTTATCAAGTTCTTCGAGGCTGCTGCAATGGATTAATCATAATTTCGGGAAATGCATTTTTGCAGATTTTGAAGAGTGCGAAAAAAAAAAATACTATTCCCTCTTTTTAGTTTTCATTTTTCCGTTTTGGACGAGAGACATCAATTGTTCAATAGATAGCTTTTTTGGAATACGGGAACGGGTCGTTTAGAATAAGTAATTACACAAATCAAGGGAGGTGATGGCGGATTTTGACCTGTCGCGTTTTTTGTACCAAATATGCGTCTCTTAGATACACAAGTGAAAAACGTCGCCATGTTAACGTAAGAGAGTAGTAAGCTCAAGTAGAAAGAGTTATTCCGTAGGAAATAATAATAATAAAGAAGATTTCTTAACGTGTGCACACGCACACGCACTTACATGCACATGCGCGTGTTAGTGCGTGTGTCTGCATTGCAACCATAACAGGTTACACTGGTTGAGACTCGCCATATTTCTATATATATATATATATCGAAACCTAACCATATTCAAGGGCGTTAGACTGCATGTTTTGAATAGAATGATATGTGAAGACAACCTATGAACAGAATTCATGAAGTTAACTTTAGTCTAATATTTGAATTATGAGACACAAAAGTTTACTTTCAAAAGCGCAAAAATTTAATGTAGTTTTTTTTTTTTAATGAAAAAAGTGCCTTGTATCGTAATGCTGGGTTTTTGGCATTACTGATTTCCAACCCTTTCGATGGCATTGCAGATGACACAAAGTTTTACAAGAAGTGTTGCGTTTGTCTGGAAGTCCATCAACGAATAAAGGAATCTGGAACCGAACAGCTTTTCAACTAGGAAACGAGCCAGATTTGAAAAGCCCTTCCCCCACCAAAAAAGAAAATTATTGAAGGAGAGATCTGAGCCAGGGTGTAAATTTGGAAAGCAAATTGGGACTGTCTCAATAGCAAGTTTCCCAATTTCCAGATATTTTTATTTCACATTTTTGTATTTTGTTCTCTTATGTTGCTGCTACAGCTGTGAGCGGACCGTTTGCTATATTGGTTATAGAATCAATTAACTTAGTGTAGTTTATCTCACGCAAGGACGAGTCAAAAAAAAATATAAAATTACTTTGTTAAGCAACCTCCTCATTTAGATACCTGTAATATTGGTTTTGTTACTTGAAACCTCGGATTAATGGGAGATGTTGAGACAATACCAGCAAACAATCCTCACTTTCAAAATAAACCGTCTCTTTCTTTTGTATTAATTCGCTAGTGCTTTACAATTGATGACCTCTAATAGCAATAAGAAAGAAAAGAAAAAAAAAATTACTTGGTCATTATTGATTCAAATTTTCTCTTGTATTCCTTAACCTGCTCCAGAAAAAGGGTAGTTTGTGGATGGTGGTGCTCCACTGCATTCATTTTTATGCAATTATCGCTTGACGTGAAAAACTCCTTCATCTCGCGTACGAAAAGCATAGATCTTGCTGTTTTGTCTATCTTAACTTTAAACTGCAGAGTAAGAAGATTCAGGTCCACAATCAGCACCACCAATCTTCTCGAGGTGGTCCTATTACACAGAGACCCTCTACTATCAACTTTTCTACTTCCTCTACATATCCGGTACAAATTCAAAACTTCACCATGATCGCCAACGCTCACCTTTTTAAAAACCAAACACAACATACGTAATTCTCAGAAGAGCTTGAAATTGTATTTTTTTAGCAGTCTTTAGAATACACATATGCACAACAAAGAAAAAGATCAAAAATTTTTTTTTTCTCTGTAGTTTAGCGCAGGGTTAACCTGCATTGAAGAGAAAGTAAAAAAAAAAAAAAAAAAAAAAAAGTTAGTTAAAAGAACCTAGATGAAACAAGAGAAATACTGGGGTTTCAAAGCCTGTCATGCTTGAGCTACACAAGAGAAAGGGGAAAAAACACCAGCTGCATTTTCAAAATCTGAAGAAACACGGTGGCAACAAGAAGAAAAAAAAAAGACATATAGTAGTTATTAATATGCTCAACAAGCTAAAATATTTGTCCAGTGGTCATTTTTAAATAAAAAAGATATCCATAGATTTGGAAGAAAAATTACTTGTTTAATCTTCTCCTCAGCAGTGGATAACAATTATTCTTCCGACATACCTCTCACCCTCTTCCGATTAATAAAATAGAGAGCCTATTGTTTTGCCCTACAGAAAAGAAAAAAATAGAGAAAGAGAGATATGCTTGCACTAAAGAGATTTAAACTAAACATATTTAGCAAACATACTCTAGGGTGAATTGAAGGTATTATTTAGTAATGTTATGCAGAAATTTCTAAATCTTTTCTTGACTAAAAGTTGATTAGCAGCTGACTGATATGTCTTTGCACTTGACGGTTCCCTTTTTTGGTCGAAAATGCTCAGGATAGTTACAAAAAGTCACTAAGATTTTAGAATCCACCCCCTCCTACCACACCCCCTTCAAAAAAAAAATAATATCATTACAATAGGGCAATCCGACAATGAGCACTAGAATATTTGATACCAAAAATCTTGTGTTTGTTTTGATACCTCTATTGGCCCAATAAAGTGCCGGATAATTGAAAGTTTCTTCCAAAAGTCCATCTCTGATATTTTATGCATTTGACTGTCCTCGTTTTTATATTCCCTTTTTTTTTTTTTCTCCCTCTTTTTTTTTTTCTCCCTCTTTTTTTAGTTTTCACTAGTTTGAGAAAGCTTTCTTTCTCTCGCCTTCTGGAGTAACAAATCTAAAATACATTCAATTTACGCTAAACTCCAGTTAAGGGAGCTACATTAGCTTGGATTCTTGTTTCCAAAGTTACACCCGCTAATCACTTTTTATTTTTATTTTTATTTTTTTTCGGTGTTAACCAATTAATACACTATGAGCCATTTTTATTCTTTTTTTTTTTTTTTTTTTTTTTTTTTTTTTTTTCAAATTTTAGATTAAGAGATACCGAAAAGCAAGTTAGCTACCGATGCACAATAAGTAAGACAATTTTAGTTACAAAACAATTTTTTTTTTGAGGGAGGATTGGTGCATGTAAATCCCCTTATCACGCACCTACCATATTTTAAAATCCAATTTAACACAAATGACAAAAAGCTAGTAATCAATTTTCTTTTTGACGCACCTAAGCATAACGTATCGAAGTATAAACAAATCCTTATAGGGTGAAAAAAATTATGACTAGATTTATATATAAACCCTTTCAGAAGTTCTCAATTTCTGGAACTCGTTTAGATAGACATTAGCTATAGTGCCCCAAGAAACTCTTTGAAATTTCATTTCTCAACTTTTTGAAGGAGACAACATCATAGACACATTCATCTGTTGAAGAAACTTACAACCTCTTTTTCTTCTCAAATTTGGTTTTCTAAAAAAAAAGAACCTTTTTTTTTTATATTTAAAACTCAAAGAGCTTGGAATTTTTGGAGAAAGTTTAATTTCTTCTTGATATTACAACGTCAGAATTCAAACAAAGTCACAGTCACATAAATCCTTACTTAGAGGCTTTACCTAATACATTTTTTTCAAAAGTATATTCATTCCCACTCATACACACTCCCCGCCATTTGGCCTTTTGCATCAAAATTTCAATTTTGTTCTATTTTTTTCTCCTTTGGCACCCAATTATAATCAGATAGGTTGTACCTTGCATATAGTTACATAAGATCACTTTTAATCATAGCATTTGCAACAACAACAACAACTACTACTACTACTACTACAATTGAAGAATTCACAAGGATTATAGATTTTTGATCCCAATATATACTAGATCTTTGAGGAACTCTTAACCCCACAAACAGCAGAAAATCAGATCTCGTTCTATTTTGATTTTCTTAAAGAAAAACACCCTGCGCTGGATTATTTTTTACTTATTTTCCAACAGACTCCTACTTTTTTGCAACCTGTAAGTTCGAGTCAAATTTTTTTTAACATTTGTCGCAACTCAAAGACAAGGACAAGGACGAATTTCGAAATTTTCCCGATTTCAAATCTGCAGATTCAAGACTCCAGATTGCAAAGCTGCAAACTAGAATATAGCATTTTTATGTGTTTTTTTACCTTTGGAGAAATATTGCACTAAAAGAAAATTTCAAAAGTTTTATATTTATCTATATATATATATTTTTTCCAGTCCAGATTTGAACCCATTTTATATTCATCTGCTCAGTGTCTCAATTATAGATAAGCAACAGTTGCTATCAATTTTATCACCAATTTTCACCAATTTTGAGATATTTTTTTTTAATTAGCATATATTAGCCCTGGGATCTAATACTAATAAAATTAACCATCACCAAGCTAAATTACTAGATTATACTTTTACAATTGATGTCCACATACTCAATACCGCATATTAATCAGATGAACGGAAATTTCAATAGCTCGTTACCACAAGCAGGTGGCGCCACGGTTACAACACCTGCTTCAAATATCCAACAACAGGGCCAACAACAGTATCTACAGCAACCACAGGCACAACAGGGACAGCAACAGCAGCCATATGGATCTTATTACTTGTATAATCAGCAGAATCCCCAACAATCGGACTATTCATCATATAGACAACAGTACCAATATCCCGCATCTCAGTCTAATTATTATCAGCAACCTGGTCAATTGTCTCAGCCTCAATATAGTTCGGGGCGTAACTATACTAGTGCACCAACCGTGCCTCAACCACCGGCTGTTCCACAATTATCAACATCTGTAACTTCTTCAGTTCAACAACCACAGTCAACAACCACAGGAGCAACAGTAGCAGGAGCAGGAGCAGCAGCAGCACCAACACAATCGACACCACTACAAGATACGCTAAACCCAACAAGCACTTCTACAGTCGGACAGTTTCAACCACCAGGAATCAGACCTAGAGTGACAACAACAATGTGGGAGGACGAAAAGACACTTTGTTATCAAGTTGATGCCAATAACGTATCTGTTGTTCGTAGAGCCGACAACAATATGATAAATGGAACCAAGTTGTTGAATGTGGCACAAATGACTAGAGGTAGAAGAGACGGAATATTAAAACTGGAGAAAGTGAGACATGTGGTAAAGATTGGTTCAATGCATTTGAAAGGAGTTTGGATTCCATTTGAGAGGGCGTTGACAATGGCACAGCGCGAGAATATCGTTGATTTGTTGTATCCGTTGTTTGTCAGGGACATTAAGCGTGTTATACAAACCGGTGTTACTCCAAATGCAGGAGCCGCAGGAGCCGCAGCCGCAGCAAGCAATAGCGGCTCTTCTACAGCTGCACCAACTACTGCAAACACCGACACCACTGCATCATCCACCACTGCAGCCACAAGTCCTTCCACTAGTAAAGTAACTGCTTCATCGAATCCTCAGCAGTCACAAGCTAACTACTACCAGAATTACAACCAACAGCAATATCCACAATCCTACAGTCAATATAATAGTAGTGTACAACAACCACAACAACAACCACAACATCATCAACAACCACAACAGCAACCACAACAACAACAACAGCCGGCTGCTGAACACCCTTACCCTCAACAACAGCAACAAATATATAGCAACTATCAACAAGGAGGCTATTATCCAAATACCTCCACCGGGAATGCATCATCTGGTACGGGCCAATATTATCCATATCAAAACTACAACAACAATTTCCCTCAACAGGGAAACTATAATTATGCATATACTCCGCAACAGCAGCAGCAACAATCACAAGCAGTAGGTGCAACGACGAATGGAACTAGTAGGTCCACGGCTGCGTCGACGCAACAATCACCGCAAACTAACGTGCAAGCGCCGTCGTTGGCACAATCTTCCCCACAACAAGCACAAGCAGCTGTAGCGGCCAAAGAAGAGAAGTAGGAAAAGTGGAGGAAAAAGAGATGAGCTTTTTTGCTTTGTGAGTGTGAGGGTGCGGGGGAGGGAAAAGGAAAAGGAAAAGGAAAAGGAAGAGAGAAGAGAGAAGAGAGTGGAGACACACATTGGTTAGAGAAATAAAGAGTTTTCTATGGTTCCTTCCTCCACACTTCACCCTCCATAGCTGAGTTATTGTTGTAATATTATTTTGCATTCGCTGTTTTATAATTTGAAATTATCAATTTTCCTTTTTTTTTTTCAACTATCTCTGATAAAGTGTGTTATTGAGCTTAGATATTGTTTACCTATTTGTTGACTGACACTTTGTAAAAAAAAACAAAAACACGTATTGTTGTCAATGTGATGGTGAAGGGTAGAGTAGTTGTAGCTCTGTTAATTCCTTTCTTTTCTTGTTTTTTTTTTTTACCTAATATTGAGAACACATGGTCTTTTGACAAAAAAGCTAAGTACACAAAATCTGAAAAACTCAGTGTAAAAGTATGGAATGGTAAAGTTCTTGAATGCTGATCCCCTATATATTGGTGGTGCTTTGATACCTTACATTTGCTTGCATGTCAGGTAATCCTTTTATGTCTGGGTTATGACGGCAGTGGTAGTATAGGAGAGGCCACTTTTTATCTTCTTTTTTTTTTTTACTGGATTATTTTGAACATTTAGACCACACATGATTACTTTTTTTTTTTACAGTCGGCACTTGCGTCATGGACGGAATTGAGCTAATAATTCGAATCTGTTAATTATTCAATTTTTAGAAGTAATGCTTAAAAATCATACGATTTTTTCCTCACATTTTTTTTTTAAAAAAATCTCCATCTCTGCACTGAATATGAGCACTTGCGTTTGCTGAGTTGTTTTTTGCTAAGTGCTTTTTTTTTTGCATTATAGATTGGTCAAATTTTGTACATGACGCAAATAACTTTTTTTTTTTAAATTTTTTTTTTTCGTATCGATCGGTACTGTATCTATCAACTCTCTACATCAAAATCTATCTATCCAAGTTTTTAAGCGCAAACCCACCCTATTTGACAACTATTTCTGAAACGCGAAAATAAGGAAAAAAAATTAAATCAAAAAAGATTAAATCAATAGATACAGTTCATCGCTTGTGAGAGACTTTTTTGATTCCTCTTTTGTCTATTTTCTACTGGTTATTATGAAACCCTATTAGTCGGGTTAATAGTTATCTGTATTTTGTTCAAGCTCTAACGTAAATGTAACGAGGTCAAAAGGTAAAAGATCAGGGAAATCCTTCTGCATGTTTCTCTCTGGTTGATTACAAACCCCCTTGCTTGATGCATGGAAGGAAACAACTGCATTAAATCTCAGCGAGGACGAAACTGCAATGATGATAATGTCAAGCATTGCGCAAAGGGTAAATTTTTATAGTAGAGCATCTCCTCTTGGATGGTGTTGTGGTGGATATAGCTTTAAAAGAGGGAAGGAGGAATAGAGAGAGAGAGAAAGAGAGAGAGAGAGAGAGATAGAGCAAAAACTTCTAGGCTCTGCTATTTTGGAGAAGCTGATGGGTTGAGTTGAGTTGAGTTATATAGACTTGAGAGAGATGGAATGGTTGATTTTGGCTCTATATTGCAATTGAAAACCTCGACTGTTTGGAGGTACGGCTAGTAGAATCATATACTTTGAATGCTCAAGGTCTTGAATGCAATGTCTTATTCTTCATTTCACGTGCTTCTAACCAAGAATCTACATTGTTAAAAGAGTACGAAGTAAATAACGATATTCTAGGGCTTTCTGGCACTTACATATAGTTAATTGACTTCTGCGTAACATTGTATTGTAGGCGAGGCGTATATTGACTAAAGCAAGAAAAAGAGATGGGCCCGCAGAATTTCATCTGATTTAAATACTAAGCATCATTGAAAAAGCCATAGATTGATTTATTTTAGTTATTATATAGAAGCCTTTAGTGGTTTTACTACTTTGCCACATTGCTAATGAAACAATCACACATGTTCAGTACGAAATAAGACTATTATATCACAACCGTTATTATTAGTTAGTTCTGCATAGATTCTGCAAATAAAAAGGATTCTCATTTATCTTGTTAGGTTTTTTAGTGTGTTGATTTGAGATATACTTTTACTAGTGCAGATGGGGAAAATAGCATATCCTCATATAGGTCTAGTTATTTTGAGAGGCAGAGAAGAAGTGTAATGTAATGCTCAGCAATCACATAATTGTTGTTTTTATGAAAACTCTTTCAGCTCCATGAGTGAAAGGGACACATACTTAAGTACTCGAGTTAGACACAACTCGTTTATTGAGTAGCTGGAGAAACAGGATGGTGATGGTCATGAGAAAAGGGGAAGAAGAAAAGAGAGCAAGTTTAATCAGAAATTGATAATGTTCGTTGCCTGATAAAATATCTCTGAGTTAATGACATTGATACTTTTAACAAGGTGGAATTATCTTATTCTGCGAAATTCATAGAAAAGAAAAAGTGATAGTGTGAACAAGTGTGCTATCACTTGTGGACCTTTTGATCACGCAAAATGAGTTGACACTTGCAACTTCAATTAGCATGCCAACACTTAAAATACCTTCTTAGGCAAGATGAAAAGGAAAAAGATAGATCCAAGTCGCTTAACCTGCAGAATACTTGATAAACCAGTTAAGAGCAAGGGGGGAAGGGGGCATTTAGCGCACATTCACTAAATTACACATTAATCTTACTTATAATGATTACACAAAAATGGCATTTACGCGACAGTTGCACAACCATTGAGCCAAATACTTAATATTCTTCAAGACCTTCGCGTTTTAGTGATGAAAAAGGGTATCCCTTCTCAATCTTAATTGAGAAAGAATCACAATACAATACATTCGAGCTTTACTATGTAAGCTTAATTAAGTCTCCAGATTCGAACCAATGTGGTTGGAATGTAAGGGGGAAAAAAAAAGGCAAAAAAGGCAACTCAGACAAACGATTGAAACCTTTATATCCAAATGTTGCAAGTTTAATATATACCGTCGGAATAAAAAATTTGAAGCTTCGCTTCAAATTTGAGACTAACGATCTTTCTAGAGGAACGTTGAAACCAGAACCAAAAGTCTACAATGTTCCTTCTTTTTCTCTCCTCTTCCCTTCCCCTCTTTTCTACGCGCACCGATTACTTACCTCCCCGCCCCCCCTTCCAGTTTAGAAATTTGGAGGGGGGGGAGAGGTGAACTGTCAAACAAATCCTGGAGGGGAACAGGAATCGCAAGACCAGCCGATGCGTAAGAGGTATTTACCTACATCCGGGCTCACGCCCGGAATTTTTTTTTCTACAAAGTTGCAAGACAAAGAATAACGATGATACTTTGTAGTTTACCAAGGAAGAAAAGTGATGTGTAGCAGGTATTTTTTATCTCCTGAAAAAAATACTTTTTGATTCATTCTTTAGCCAAAAAAAAAAAAAATTTACAAGAATTTCACCCTTTGCACACGATCTTTATCAAAACAACCATCATTTCAGATGGATACGAATAAGACTCTTTGAGTCGCTGGACCATAGCAGGCTGGCAGCGGTGCACTTAGCGGAAAGGCTTTGTGTGCTTGCCGGCGAATAGCAATGTCACAATGCGCGGGGATAAATCCTTTGCATACGACTTAGATGTACAACGGAGTATTGTAAGCAGTAGAGTAGCCTTGTTGTTACGATCTGCTGAGATTAAGCTTCAGTTGTCTGATTTGTCTAGGAAAGTACGAGCCGGAGCTTGTGCGTTTGTAGACGAATACAAATTTTTTGGATAATGTTGAGTGCCGGGTAAGAAAGAGAATATGGGAGGAGTTGGAGATTGGGCGAGTTTTGGCAAAGAGAGAGTGCCGGGTAATACTCAAGAAAAGATTTAGATTGTAGGTATTCAAAAAAGATTTAGATTGTAGGTATTCAAAAAAGATTTAGATTGTAGGTATTCAAAAAAGATTTAGATTGTAGGTATTCAAAAAAGATTTAGATTGTAGGTATTCAAAAAAGATTTAGATTGTAGAAATTCAAGATAATAGACTGTAGGATTGCAGATTTTAGAAATTCAAAAAAAAGATTGCAGCACGAGAGTTTCGCGTATGGTCTCCCACTACACTACTCGGTCTCGCTCTTAGCAGCTTAACTACTGTTGATCGGACGGGAAACGGTGCTTTCTGCTAGATATGGCCGCAACCGATATACATTGTTTTTTGAGGTACTAGGTGTTGATGGAAGGTCTAAAATTTTATAAAATTATCAACAATAATATTTGGTAAGATTTTCTTTTTAAAATTTGTATGAGAGGAAAGCTCTAGAGGAAAATCTTTTTTTCCAGTTTGCAGCAATATTTTGCATCCTTTTTGAATTTTGCAATCGGTTGCACGCCGCTACCAATTCAGATGTACCAAGTAAAAAGTTTTTCTGGATGGGTTTTATTATAGGACATTTTCAGAAAACATACAATTTCGAGACAAATGAAAACTAATTAGTATTGGTTTTCAAACTGCACACATGTAACCGAGCGAAAGGATATATATGCGAAAGCATAAAGACAGTTTGAAAGAAAAGAAAAAGACAACGAAAGGCGTCTTCTACTTTTATTACTTTCTGTTTAAGGCCACGTTATTGAGTGGGGAGAGTCTGTGAGTGATGTATAATCACAAACTGCTTTTTACACTACAATAACATGGGTGAGTCTCTTTTTGTAGACAAACCTGAACAGTCTTATATCAAATATGTAACCATTTTGTATATAAGCACTGAAGGATTTAGTGGATTACTAGCTGATAGCAAGTGTTCTAACTAAAACCACTTGGGGGTCTGCCTTGATAAATAGCCGGAAAGCAATTTCTGTGATTTTTCAAGCGTAACTCCCTCCATGGTTGGTTATGTTAAACCTTTTTTTCATTTTTTTGTAAAGAAAGTGTTTAGCGGACATCATACCAGGAGAATTTTAAAGAGGGCTATATGGATGTGACTAGTTCGCGTATGGTTGTAAAAGACTGTACCGGACGA